TGTGATATATGAAAGGTAATAGATGAGGTTTTTAGCTCACAAAATTCTTCTCCTTTTTACAATAGATCAAGATCTTCAAGAGATCAGCTTGTAGTTCTAATATACTTTACTATGGCTCGACTTAGGCTTCGTAATTATATGAAATATATGTAGGTGTGTTAGAATCTCTAGTCTGGAAAATATCAGTATTACAGAAATTATTCACCAAGAAAGCTGAAAAAAGATCTCAATAGAACTTAAGCTGAAGAGCTCATTATAAATATTATAAGCATCAAATTGCAGATCAAAATATGATCTCCTTTTAGCATATTTTAACTGTGATTGATCTCATTTCAATTTCAATATTCAATCACATTCGCAGTCGCAACTACCCCAGCTCAGTTGTGTTTATAGGGTATGTTCATGGAGAAATGGCAAATGACTGGAAACCCATTTAGCTTAGATCGAATAGCGCTGGCTATGCGTGGCCCAAGAACCGGGCCAACTGAACAACCTGGCCAAAAGCGAAGACGAAGACGTGTGTGCGGCTTCCTCTCTGTCCCTCTCTCTACCTCTGTGTGTGTGTATGTGTGTGTGTGTGTTAACCAAGACGGTCAAGTGACATGCAAAGCGAAAGCGCGGCTAACAACATGAAACATGAAGCAGCTAACAAACATGACAGAAATGATGTCAAGCCAGCGGGCACACCAAACAGGAACAACACACAACAACAGCAACAACAACAACAACACACGACAGCAACAGCTGCTCGCAGCTGAGGCCAATGGCCAAACCCGGTCGATTGCTGTGCGTGCGTGTGTGTGGGCGGGCAAAGGCAAGGCTAAAAGGCTGCTAGAATGTCACAAATGACCTTGACACAGACACACACACACACACACACACACACACACACACACACATACATGCCAGCACACCTTCCTTCCGCTGCGCGCACACTTAAGTAAATAAAAAACAGAAATTAAATATATATGAAAAAAATGTTATCATAAAGCAACGTGAGACAGCGCGAGCTTTGCCATTTGCCATTTGCCATTTGCAACTCGCCTTGAAGCCTTTTTTCTTTCCACTTTGTCATGCCACGACTTTATCGATGGGCAGCAACAGCAACAACAACAGCAATAACTCCGACAACAACAAACTATCAATTGCCAGCCAATTTCAATATTTCTTATTCGCATTTCAAGTGACTTCATATTGAAAACGAGTCGACTCGATCAGCCACAGCTGACGCTCAAGTAGTTGGGGCTTAGCCAACTGCGTAATACCTGTTCAACTCATATAGAATACACGTAAGCCTAATGGGATTATTTGCGGAGCAAGTGCACAACAATTCACATGCAAAACTTGTTGATTCTAGCTGGCGAACTGTGTGAGCATTAACATGCACCTAACACTGAGGATAATTTGCTACCAGGCAGCTCATCCAATTGAATGCTAATGCAGAGCAAATATAGAAGGCTTAATAAGGGATATACATATGAATTAACATTTACTATGAACTTTATCATTGGGTTAATTTGATGTGTTGGAAATTTCTTTAAAAAATCTAAATAAGAGAGTGAGACATTTAATATGAACTTTATCATGAGGTTAAAATATTGGAGATATTTAAAAAACAAATTAAATTGATGTTTTGCGAAAATACAGACAGAAAGTGAGAGAGAGAGAGAGAGGGTGAGAGAGAGAGGCAGAGAGAGATAGAGAACGTGAGGCATATATGAACTTCATCGTGTGGTTGAGATAATTTGATAGGCTAAAGTTAGCTTCAAGCGATTTAATTTACAAATATTAAGCAGCACAATAATAATACAGAGAGAGTGAGAGACAGGGAGATATTATATTAACATTTGCCGCCTATTTTGTTATGAGGATGCCTATGGTCATAGCTTCCATAAGTTGTGTTCATGTTATATATTAATGAACAAGTAATGAACTGGATTGGATTTAAGGAGAGACAGAGATTGTATGAACATCTATCGCTCACATTATTATGAGGATGACATGTTATTATTAGGTTAACCTAAGTTTACTTAGTTAGCATACATATATCACTCACATTATCATGAGGACAGGAATTTCTACTTGGGAAACAGCAAAAATTTAATTAAGCCTTAGAGATACAAAGAGTGTATTCTACATTTCCCATTGAGAGAGAGAGAGAGCGAGATTGTAAGACAAAAAGGCAAAGAAAGTGTTTACATTTACCAGCTACCTTATCCTGAGGATAAACTGACACAAACAGCTAGCATGGCACATGGAGTTCAATCAGCAACTATTTTTCTTTCAGCTGTAGATTCGAATTTACTTACAAAATTTCTAGGCAGCTGCTCTGTACTTCATGGCAAGGTCTTAGCAGCCACACCCATACGCACCTAGAGAATTTGGGTCTGTCTCTCTCTCTGTCTGTTGTTGTTGCTTCAGCTAATACAATGGATATTGGACCTAGTGTTTAGCCCAAGCTTTTGATAATAATATCATTTATCTTGTGATTTATGTGCGGGCTAATCACAGTGTTTTCTGCATACTTATTTTTTATGGAGCTATTATTATATTGTATTATTATTATTATTATTATTATTTTCAGTAAACAACAATAGAGTTGATTGTGTCTAAGTTTCAAAATTATGAAATAGTGTATATATTTTGAATCTATTATATATAGAGCATAATAATTCAGCATGTTGTGATAATACAAATCTTGGTTTCTGGTGAACTTGGAAAATTAATAATCTATAGTATATTAGAATACATATTATATTATTATAAACACACAATACGCACGCAATATATATATTATATATTATGTCATACACTATATATATGATCTATTTCATAATTATGTAGAATATAAAAGGAATTTTTTTAGTTTTGATTATTTTATTTTTTATACTTTATTAAATTTGTATTGTTTTTCTCATAATTTATATAAAATATAAATATATCATATCATATGAATATGATATATGATATTTAGCTATATCTATAGATATTTATTTATATATATATATATTTTTTTAAGATTTTATAGTTTTATTTATGTATAATAAAAATATGTGAGTTTTTTTTTTTCAAGAATTGTGTAAACATAAACGACGAAATTCAAGAACTGCTTCGAAGGAGTATTAATTAGCGTGTATATGTGTATGTATATATGTGTGTGTGTGCGTGTTTATGTGTATGTTTGTTTCACATGTGTGTTTGGCCTTGCGTAGCAAGCAACCCCTCGAACTGCAACAACAACAACAGCAACAGCAACAGCAACAACAACTGCAATAAACTGAAACGGATGAGCGACAGGTAAAAATGCTAATACCAGATAACGGCAAAAGGCAACAACAACAGCAAACAGTGACAACCTGCCCAAACTCTAGTTGTTGTTGTTGTTGCTGTTGAGAGACAGCCCTGTTGAGTTTTCCCAGACGAAGCAGCTTTGCTTGCATTTGCACAGGTGCTCAAATTGAGAGAGAGAGAGTGAGAGCGCGAGCAGGAGAGTGGGAGCGATGCATAGATGAATAGCAAGAGCATCCGCAATACAGAACAGAGTCGAGCTAAACGGCCACCCTGCACATGCTAGAGTTGCCACTCCAGGGTTGTCAAGCCCATTGAGTGATGCCATTAGAAGGAGATTTGCAAATTGTTGCTGAGGCAAATTAAAAGTTTTCGCTTTATCATATCGTTCGCTGTCTGCCTCTCCATTTCCCTCTCTGCTGCAGCGACTTTTAATGGATTTTCTTTCATTTGATGTTTCACATTTTTGTTGCCTTTTCGATCATCGAAAATTGGAGCGAACATCCGCTCAGCAGCCGCAGCAGCAGCAGCAGCAGCAGCAAATGCCATTAGCAGGTGTTGATAGCGCTTTAAAGTTAGTTGTATTGAATGCAATTACGTGAACTTTCACCTGGCTCGAGTGTGACATAGAAAGAAACATCTATTTCTTTCTAATCGAAAACTATCCATGAACAAATTTATTCTTAGCATTAAAGTCTCATATCATCATCATCATCATCATCATCATCTTCGCCATCTCATCGATCATTTCTGAAGACTTGTCATAGACCTCACAGCTTTGTTCATCTGGCTCATAGAATGTTAATCGTTCCCCGATCATTGGAGTATTTTATGAGTAATATCAGAGACATATTGTTTACTTTGTTTGCCTGCCCAATTCTCTTACGATTTGCATTCATCAAACTCAGCAATTGCAGACTATTCTATACCTAACTTTCACGAGCGATTACTTCATGATATGGCATGTGATTCTTATGTGACTAAGTTAAGTCCCAAGTGTGTACTATATATCATATATTCGATATACTCTGCAGATACCAGTACTGCACTGGCAACTTTTTCAAAACGGATGTGGATAACATTTGCATTTCTTGCCTTACGAAGTTGGAATTAGACCAAGTTTGATTACAAATATATACACATACATATGTCATGTATATATTATATATACATATGTATGTAAATGTAGTATTAGTAATGTAATCGAGTCTGCTACAATAGATATATATAAGTACATATAGCTTTCTTAGTCTATAGATGTTAGCCTATTTTATCTTACAGGTAAAACTTGGCTTGTGCGAGATTTTTATATTGATAAACATATGTACATATGTACATACATATGTTTATTCCGATATAAGAGATATATGTACGTATGTTTCATATGTTTATTTCTGTCTCTATCTACGCATTTCTGTTTCTTCTTGCAACTCCTCACTTCAAAGAATTTATAATAGATATAGAAATGGATATATTTATAGAAAGATGCTATATTATCTATAAGAAAATATCTTATACTGCAATCAAGTTTTGTCTTTGAAACCCTCGTTCGCATCGACTTCTGTTCATACTAGTCGCACAATGCGTATCTCAGTCAAGATCTTGAAGGCAAGCTTAAATCTATAAATAGCTCTAAGTAGATTGCAATTCAGGGTGGGTGGGTGTCTGGGTCGGTCTTAGGGATGGCGTACTTATGGGGGGTTAATGCTTACCGCACACGTCCAGCCAGCCCTCGACGCGACTGGGGTAGGAAATTGCATAGGCGCGATTCAGATACGTGCGACGTCCCATGATTTCTGCTTCTTTCGGGTGGGTGGTGTTAACGTTTCCTTTTGGGATGCTGCCACCGCCGCTCTCTCTCGCTCTCTCCCGCTCTCACTCGCTGTAGCACACGCGCGCGCTCACGCTCTGGAGCTCTCTGGTATGGGCGCTCTCCGGTTCGCTATTGCTGCTGCGGCTCGTTATCTTTCGGCTTATCGACAAGTTGTCGAATAGCTGCTGCTGCTGCTGCTGCTAACTATTGTTGTTGTTGTTGTTGCTGCTTAATTTGAATATTGATTTTGTTGTCGCCGTCGGCTTTTGTTGCTATTTATTTGCCATATATTTTCGTTTTATTGCACTTGTCTTCGACCGAGAAAAAACAAAGTGTATATATAAAATAAAATGAGCAAACGAAACGAATTCGACAAGTCGAGTTTTAGTTTTTAATTTCCACTTGTTGTTGCTGCAGCCTTCTTTTAATTTTGTTGATTAAAAGCTTAACAAAAGCCCGATTCAAGAGCACAAGAAAACAAAAACAAAACTCACACACAAAAAAAAAAAATATTAATCACGATTTTTGTTTTATTTGCTTTGCCTTTTTTTGTTTTTGTTTTTGATTTCTTTACGCACGGCTCAAGCTCAATGCTGATTCTCTCTCTCCCTCTCCCTCCCGCGCTATGTTGTTGGTCTCATCAGTAGGTCCCAGCGCCTGTGTGCCACTGAACGGCTAAGTGTGTGTATATATCTGTGTGTGTGTGTTTGTGATTATTTTTGAGCTATTTTAGCCTTTTTTGCCTTTAACTCAGACCGCAGGCAATTTGAGAGAGACACGGAGAAAGAAAGATAGAGAGAGAGAGAGAGAGAGCGAGCGGAGATGCTTCTACAATTTTGTGTGCCGCCCCCCACGCCCCCTTCGATGCGTGACAGTTGTTGTTGTCTACACACACACACACACATTCATATAGACGCATGCACATACATATGTACAATATATTGTTAATATTCTGCGCTGAAGGCCGGTCGGCGCATATTGAAGTTTTATTTATTGTTGCCGTCGCTGTTGTTGCTGTTGTTGTTGTTGTTGTCGCGCCAACGAAACCAGAAACTTTTTTTAAGAGTCACAGGCGCTGCTCACTCAAGTATTTATATATACATATATATATAAATATAAATATATATTTATTTATATATATACATAAGAGTGCACACACGTGCATATGTATATGCGCTGCTCTGTGTATTATTTTTAAATTTACGACGGCTTGCACTCCAGCAACAAAACCAAAACACTTGACCAAAACAATTACCACACTTTTAATTCAGAGAAGAAAAAAAAAAGTACTCGAAAAAAAAAACACCGCTCGCGATTTATTTGAATTTTTTTAAAATGCACGTCAACTGCGCGCAAATGCAACAAACATTTAAAACGGAAAACAAATGTAACAGCTCGATGCGTGCGCGTGGAGACGCGCGACGTGCCAACCGCGCAGCAACAAACATTAACTAACTAATAAACAATGTGACCGCAGCGAGGTAAGCATAAAAACACACTAAATGCAAGCGCTCAGAAAATAACTAAAATCCTACAAAAAATACCAGCTGCTTGGTATTTTATGAGCGCTGCTAAAAAGTGTGTCACTGGCTATTTTTGGTGCCAAAACGTGAGAGCTGAAAATACATACATGCAGAGCCAAAGCTTGCCAATAGCGCCAAACCTCAACGTCATTGATTTTTTGAAAGCCGATTTTAAATAAAACACAAGAGATTGTTTTGTTTAAATAATATAAACGCAGCTTCCAGTATTTATGTGCATATTTGTTTCATGTTTATCCTAAAAGTATGCTACAAAATGACTAAATACCAAAAGCTGGGAATCGAAAATACGTGTAGAATAGAAACTGCAAATTTGAGCTGGACCTATAGAAAATTATGCGCGTTTTCCCCACGCATTTAATTATGACACTTAATAGCTAGCAAGTGAGTATAACATTTACGATTGAGGATACTTTTCCTAACTAAAGCAAGCTGTAGTGAGAGTAAAAACTATGTTGCCAACTTTTGGGACTGCTGCAAAAATAAACGACTTAGAGCTCAACTTTAGCTGAGATCAGTCTCTATGCGTGATTTCGTACTTGTGACAACAGCTGATGATGTGAAGAATGACAAGTGAATAATTCATTCGACTTGTTGCAGCGAAATATTTGTTGCCTACTTTTGGGGCTGCACCACAAAAGCGAACACAAAAATGAATCAAATTCTTATAGATTTACGAAAAAAAAAGGTTTTACTTGTTAAACGGTTTACATGAGTTTTAATAGTGCACATAATTAGTAGGTAGTTATTAAAAGATAATCGAATACACATAAAATTAATAACATAATTTATAAGTAAGTAGTTCTTGAACTTTTTGTTGTTGTTAATCTTTTTGCTACGCATTGTTTCAGCAACGCACAACGAATTTTACTATATATATATATATATATATATATGTATATATACGAGTATGTATATATATGTATGTATGTATATATCTGTGAATATATGTATATATCTATACATACATATATATCTATATATAGAATATATATATATCTATATATGTATATATTGGGTATACGCATAGTGTTGTTCAGTCTTTGATTTTAAACTTAACGGGTTAAAGAGAGAGAGAAAAAAAAAACAAAAAAAAAGGTACATACATATACATATATGCATAAAACTAAGTTTGGATTATGGTTAATTGATATTTGATATTTGATTTTGTTTTGTTTTAACACATTTCTGTGGAATGTGCTAGGAAATGTCCTTGGCGGGGCGCAGCCCCATGGAACGCTTCAGTATAATCGTAAGCTAAATAGTTCTATATAAATATATATCCGAGTGTATATATCTATATATTATTTTAGATTGTTTTCTTGCTGTGCCCTTTACATTTTGCTGGGCTCCTCCTCCTGACCGCTGAATGCGGGCGCTGGCGAAACCGAACCGGAACCAGACGCTGAACCCGAGCCAGAACCGGAGCCGGAGCCAGAGCCCGAAACGGCGTCCGCTACAGACTCCACTTCATTGGCCGCCTGCAGCTCGACGAATATATCGATGAGATTGTTGATGCCAATCAAATAACCATCCTCATGATTGCCCACCTTCCAGGCCGAATAATGATCGATCCTCATGTGTGGCGGCAGGGCCACCGTCTTGGCAAAGTCAATTAGCCAAACGCTGGCGTGCGTCTGATCGTGCACGAACAGCAGCGAGCTGCCAATGACCTCGTGAGTCTGGAAAAACTCTGAGACGGCCAAGGTGGCCCGTATGGCTCGTAAGCGTTGTATGTACCGTGGCTGCAATGGAAGAACATTCAATTAGGGCTCAGAGACTATTTCAACTTGAATTGGGATTAACGTATATGATTGTAGCAATATCATCTGATCATATTTTAAAACACAGTTATCTAACCGGTACTAAAATATCATTATAATAAGAGTGATCTAGTAATGAGGATTCGCCTAGGATACACCCGGGCTCTGTGATGAACGGATAATCAAATCATTCTACGACGGTTTCTTATAGAATATATACAGATACAACAGATTTATGATGAGGAAAAATGGGGATACACAGAAAAACATAAGAACGTAATAAAAAGATTAAGATGTGTGTATTTTTCATATAGTAACTCTTTACTATATCTTCTTTAAAAACCATCCTTGTAAAATCGAGATCTCTTGCGTTTAAATAACTGCATTAAGTGATCGATTGTTATCGATAATAAGAATATGGGTTGAGGTAAGCAACGATCAATGCTGCGGAATATACATTTTCAATTTCAAGTCGTTAGCTTTTGTAGATTACGAGATTTGATGGATGAACAGATAGATGTGAGTCGATATACCCCTCTTATTGCGCTAATTGAGATGCATATAAACTTAATGAGCTGTGTCACGCCCTCCTATTTCAAATAGAGAGCTATTTGCTTCATAAATTTACACCCAAATATTAAGCACATTCCTATGAGAATTTCCCATTTCGACTATAGGCGCTGGAAATATGAGTCTATTGCATGGAGTGCTTCATCAGTGGGACGGTCAATATCGTGGGATCGAGAGACAAATAATCAGTTTATATACCCTCTATAAGGTTATTGATCTAGGTAAAGCCATAAGCTAAAACCCACCAGAATATGTGGATGGCCGCTGAGGAACTCTCTGAAGGCCGATTTGATTTGTTCGCGTGACTTGGTCGTCTTGAAATCTTTGGAACTGGTGCCATCGCTCTTCTTGATGCCCTGCAAGTCAAACGGATGCTTAGTAAATGGCAGCTGAGCGGAGAGTGATCACAGCGATGCTCACCTCAATGCGAAAGCCCAACGTTGCAGTGCTCGAGATGGTCTCGCGCCAGACCATGTAGCGTGGCTTGGTCACCGCCTTGGCCGCGTGCTCCTCGGCATTGGGCGCCTGGGCATCGATCTGTATCATCTTGTCGTACATGTCCTTGCGCAGCTTGGGCTTCTCCTTGGCCTTGGACAGCTCCTCCTCCAGGTAGGTGCGCACACCCACTTTGCAATCCATGACGCACGGCTGCACGTAGTCACTGAGCAGATCTTGCAGCTGCAGATAGACTGAGAGCAAACGAAACTTTGATATAGCTAACTGGTAAGACACAATCAGTCAATCAGTCGAATAGTCATTCATATATGTAGCTACACAGCCGAACAAGACTAGCATTTAAATATTTAGTCACTTAATAAGTTAATCGATCTGTGTGAGAATCAAACAGAATATCAAACAGCTCTAAAGCTTTTTATTCGATTACCAACCCGATCAAGCAATTACACCTTAGTTAAGTAATTAGAGGGAAAATCAATCAATTGATCTATTCATGGAAATTATGCATATACAGTCATCGACTTGATTAATTAGAGCCATGCCACTCAGTCAGTCAGTCTGTTTGTATTCATCAGTTAAATCAACCTGTTGATCAATCAACAATCAGTATTCAATCTGCCTATTGATCATTCAGCATCAATCGAATCTATATCACCATCAGTGTGTGGTCAGGTAATCAATCAGCTATAAAATCTTGTATTTGCCAGCTGTCATCGATTAACAAAGACAATCATACACTGTCAATCAGTCGCTGTGCCATTCTGTCAGAGCTTCAGTCTATCATTTAGTCAGCTTTCAATCAATTAGCATATAAATCAAGGAATCAATCCATCCGCACTTTCGATCAACTGATCCATTCATTTAGTCAGCGTATGTAGTCAAACAAGACATTGATTTGATCCGTCGATAGTCAATCGTCAGTCAATCAATCAATTCATAAACAAGTGAGAAGACTCTAGTCGAGACTGCTTGAATAGGAGATACCCTGAACCCTCCAAGCTGATATTCTTCTCATTCTGCACTTCTCTTATGCACGCACACATTCATTCATACACATGCATCCACCCTCACGCGCCCGCGCTCTGCTAACTGCGCAGTAAGCAG